GCTCCGAAGGAGAGGGAGTATACTATTTTACCCTTGTGTGTCTGTCTGTCTCTCTGTCTGTATGTATGTCCGTAACAAATTTTTCTTCACAGTTTTCTCAGCAACTACTCATCGCAGATGCTTGAAATTTTAGCACACACTTTGTTGAGGCATGCCATGTGGTGGGATTCATTTTTGTACGAATTTGATGTCAACTTCCTGTTTATCCGTGTGTGTGTTCGTACCATACATAACAAGTTTTGGTCGCGGTTTCTCAGCAGCTACTCATTGCAAAGGCTTGAAAATTTAGCAAACTCTTTGTTTAGGCGTGCCATATGGTGGGATTCATTTTTGTACGAATTTGATGTCAACTTCTTGTTTATCCGTGTGTCTGTTCGTACCATAGATAACAAATTTTGGTCGCGGTTTCTCAGCAGCTACTCATTGCAAAGGCTTGAAAATTTAGCAAACTCTTTGTTTAGGCGTGCCATATGGTGGGATTAATTTTTTGTACGAATCCGATGTCAACTTCCTGTTCATCCGTGTGTCTGTCCTTACCATACATAACTAATTTTCGGCGTTTTTTTTCTCAGCAGCTACTCATTGCAGACGCTGGAATTTTAGTTCTCTCTTTAATTAGGTACGTCATATGGTGGGATTAATTTTTACGAATCCGTTGTCAACTTCTTGTTTATCCGTGTGTCTGTCCGAACCATACATAACTAATTTTGTTGCTTTTTTCTCAGCAACTACTCATTGCAGACGCTTGAATTTTAACACACTGTTTGCTTAGGCATGCCATATGATGGGATTTATTTTTGTTTGAATCCAATGTCAATATGACGTCAACTTCCTGTTTATCCCTGTGTCTTTCCGTAACTGAACTTGTGTACATTCACACTAGCGTGTATATTCACATCAAAGTGGGGGTATTACTAGTGAGCATTGGCTCACAAACTTCTTGTTTAAACAGTGAAATCTTTCATTTTAAGTTTTTTTTTGGGGGAGGGGGGAGCATCGGGAAAACCTTCTTTTTCAAATCTTCATCAACATCAAAAAACAAAACCGTCACTTAAGTAAAAAAGAAACTACAAATAAGTTCCTGACTTAAATCCATTTAAAAATCTGGACTGTCTTTCAAGTATGCAGAAATGAACTAAATTAGGTTTATAAACTACTCACTGTGGACCCTTGCCTGACTTGTTGCAGACAGGTAAACATACCCACAGGGCATGCTTATCATACATGGGCCTGTACTGGACCAGTCAGCATTAAATAACCATTTTCTTAATATAACAAGAAACACACTAGGAAATAGGATAGGAAATCGCACAAAGATGGTGCGATTTCCTATTGAACTCGTGCATTACATCCATCCTTGAGAAATATCAGCTGTCCTTATCTTGATTTTACCTGTACATGATACTAACATTATACCCTAACAAATAATTTTGAAATTAATCCGTGCGAAATCAAAGAACTTTTGTAGTGCCTTTAATAATCGATGATATAAAGAAATTTTTCACTGAATGGAAACCAATATGGATATTTACAACATGTCACAGAAATAAGGAGAGAAATTAGGGATATCGTTTGTCTTTTCTGTTTAAGAAATAATTTACAAATCAGTAATTTTCCTTACTCACTTTACATGGATCAAAGTTCTAAAGAATAACTGTCCAAAATCAAATGAAAATTATCTCTTCTAATTTACAAATTATGATCTATACATCTCAAAGCCTTGTCTTTGTATCGAAGTTTCCCTTTATGATTATTACTCTTACAGGACGAAAACCCTTCTTTAAGCAATCGCTTAATGGTGGCTTAAAGAAATTAATTCCTTTAAGTCACCATTATGCCCCCATTAAGCTGCAGCTTCTAGATGCTTAATGTCCAAACTTCTTTAAGCTACCATAATGCTGCATCGTAATGGTACATTTGTAATTTAATATCCAAACTTCATTAAGCCACGAATAAACATCTTAAAACCAGATTTACGCATACCTCATGAAGTCTTGAAACTAACTTGTTAACATCCTCACAATGTCAAGGTTTTGTGATTTCGGAACTCCACACAAACCCTTGACATAAGTCTCTATTTAAAAGTTGGATTTGTGGTTACACATGACGTAATGGGTAATTATAAACTAACCAATGAGAATATTTTTCAAATCCGTCTTTTTAAAATGGCCCAACTCCAGAGCATATCTTTTGTGATTGTTAGGAGGAAGATCTTCCAAAAATCAATCCACGATGTACTGCATCATTTAATGTAACTAGTCACAAATCCAACAATATTGACACTTTCCATTTGAAAGACGAGTTGTATTTGTTTACAGAACTAATAAAAGATGTTTTCTGATTGGTTCCAGTCCTAGACCAGGAACAAATGAAACAGTAGCTTTCTAGCCCAACTTTTACATAGCTACTTATGTCAAGGGTTTGTGTGGAGTTCCGAAACTTGATATTATAAGGATGACTTGTTAAGTTTAAATTATATTTCATAATCATTTATGCAGAATTTTATTCATTTCATAATTTTGTCTCGCTAAAACCCCAGTATGAATTCCACTACATTTTAGAATGTGCTTTTTTCAAAAGAGAACAAAAATAAATATTTTATGCTAACTCTAATGTTATCGATTTCAGGTAAGTTACAATTAATGGAAGAGCCATTGCAACAGCTTCTGTTCTCTGTGAGCGTGAATTTTGATTTTTACTTATGACGCTGCACTTCCACGGCGTTCAACGTTTGTGACGTCAAAATTAAACGCATACTTTAACCTTCTGACCCCCTGTCCGTGTTATGGTGTTTTGAATGCCGTAGCTTCCTCTCACTTCATAAGCAAAATACATGCGCAATGTAAATATATAGATTTATTTTTATTATTATGCTTCCTGTAAGTTTGCCTCTATATAATCAATACTCAATTATTTTCGCATAGTGTTTTAAGGGTTCATATAAAGTAAGCATACTTTACCGAAATAGTGCACGGCTTCTTTTTCCGAAGAAAATCCGACAGCGCCCAGCCGGGGATCGAACTCACGACCCCGAAGTCGTCTGTCCAACGCGTTACCGATTACGCCACAGATGCCGTTATCTTTAACGTTGTATATATATATATATATATATATATATATATATATATATATATATATATATATATATATAAACTTAGTTTCAAATATTTGACACTAATAAACAAAATGATTTTTTTTCTTCAATAGTTTCTTGCAACTTTTTTCCCTTCACTCAATTTTTGTACATTACAACTTTTTGCATGAAACGCTCAAATTAATAAAAAAAAATTATGACGTACATGTAGCACGACGTAAAGTCATAATAGCGGTATACTAACATGTTTGTAAGAGGTGAAGAAACATTGGAAAAGGAGAAAATATAGTTTTTATTTTACAGTCAGCATAATAATAACAATAGTGTTATGTGTTGCATGCACTATGCCTAAAAGTAGTCAGGGTTTGACACATACTGCACTCGCCTCCGGCTCGTACACCACGTGTCAAACCCTGACGACTATTTAGGCATAGTGCATGCAAAACACAACACTATCATATAACTAGCAGAGGCCTTCTATACATCTATGTTCTGAACTATACATACATAAAGTATTTAACATTAGTGCCACTCATTCATGCATTCTTGCTTATATGTTTTTTGTTGTATTAATTTGTATTCATATATCCCAGTTGGGGTCTTTGTCTTAAACAAAAACTTGAAACTTTCTAAGTACGTTCTCTCATTCGTTGACTTGTAAGCTAAATCACGCAAACGTTTGAATTAAGGATGTAATCTGCTGAGATAACTTGCAATTACAATTCAATGTATTCAGTATAATTTGAAACCATTAAACCATCAAAATTAATGCAATCTTTTAAAACCTTTACTCCTGGACATCAAACTATTGGCATGATTGTGATAATCATTAACCACTCCGCCAAACTTATGAAATCCATGGGACTAGCGCCAGGAGTCTTGGTGTTAGGGTAGGGCTCTAAAGATCATATAGTGAGAATGCAAAATTTCTTGAACAAAACTTCTTATTTACGAGGGCCATTCAAAAATTACGCAAACTCTGCTATTACTTAGTCTTACAAACGTCAAATGGGAATGACATTTTACAGAAATATATTTCGTAAAGATTCCAGAATTTTTTTTTTTTTGATATCAATTAATTTTCACTAAATATATTGCGAGTTTTGATATTGCCGATGGTGATGTACAGAGTACGGCAAAAAGATTTTCGAAACGAACTTACAGAATCAAAAATGTTTCAATTTATATTCCATATAATTCACGAGATTATTAGAAAAATCTTGAGTTTTTTTTATTGTAACATTATTATGCATTTTTATTTCTAACAAAAATATTTGAAGTAGTAACAGAAATATTGTTTTTTTTTTCTTCTATGTGTTCTCTATGAAAACGACCAAAAAACATACGTCAAAAGATTTGACGAAGCAGCGCACTTTTATCAAATTAAGTGTAGTACTCGGAAAATGCCAACAGAGACCCAAAAAATGCTTGTAATACACAAGTGATATGCCAGACATCTGTCGACAAATAACACAAGAAAATGTTTAAATTTTATTTTTTAATACATAAATACAAAATCTTTAAATTCATTGCAGTAAATGATAACAGACTAACTATAAAAGCAGTAGTAAAGCAAAACCAAGGCAAAACAAATCAATACGTAAACATTTTTGTTTTTTAGATTTTAGTTATGAAAAAGGCAATACATGTTTGAATAAATACAAAACTAAATTCAAAGAACAAAAAGAGGTAACTTTTTAAATCCAATGTACTATAATTGTAAGTTGACATAAACAGTACGGGATTTTAAAACAGGAAAAGATTAAAAGAAAAAGTCTTTTAGAGATTCATATGTGGTATAAATGACTGCAAAATTCTGTTGCATAAAAATAGAATCTCAGAATTCAAGGAAAATACCATCAAAGAATGGTTTCAATGAATATTACATTGAGAAATACTTGCCGTGTTAAGAATGAAATAAACATGAAACGTTGAAAGCAATATTTGCACTTCATACATAGTTTATATAAAACTAAACTGGTCGCTAAAGTCCTGGTCGAACCTCATTGGAACCTCTGTATATTTACTTGTGTCGTCATCATACTTACGACACGTGGAAAATGGCGGAGAATAAAGGTGAAGGGTAACTGCGCCATCCACGTGACTTTTGTTTCCAACTCTGTGAAGGCCGTCTTCGTCTAAATAAAGAGATATAATTATAAGCCATCAAACAATTCTTGTCATTGAGAAAAACCAACAAAATACTTTGCTGATAAAAAAGAAAAACGATAAAGTAATGTGAATTATATTAAAGATCAACATACTGTTCATAGTTGCCAAGAAATAACGCAGAAGGGGAGGATACCTAAACAAGGTAGACTAAAACGATTTTTCTTTCATACAAAGTTACTAATCACATTTTGCAACTTGTGACTTCAAACCGCACGAGGCATTTGGAAGATCCAGACTGTGACTTCACAAGATGGTGATCTACTATCTAATGCCCTGTTCACATGGGGAGTTTAATTAGCAGTAAATTAATGCAAAGTAAAATAATTCAAATTAAACTAATGCGAAGTAAATTGCGTTCACACGACAGGTAATGCGAAGTAAACTAATGCGAATTAAAATTTCATTTCTACAGTAAGGCTATTCAGCAAGGCTATTGTGACATCATTTTCAAATCACGTCACCTTACGCAGAGCAGATCCATTTCACAAAATGTCGTAGTGTCTGTACACATTTCACTGATCAACATAATTTTCCTTTGTTTTTCACTAAAAAATAGCAGAAGTACTTATACCTAACCACCGACATGTGGCATGTGACTTAATTTTGCCATTACGCATGCGTCAAAATTTAATTCGAATTAGCTTCGCTTAGCGTTCACACGGAGCTAATGCGAAGTAATTTAATGCGCAGTAAATTAATTCGAATTAAACTATTCGCACTAAATTCCCTGTGTGAACGCGGGTTAAATTTAATTCGCAGTAACTAATTCGAATTAAACTCTCCGTGTGAACAGGGCATAAATGTAAAGTCTATTAAAGCTCGGAGAGTTTCACAATTATTTGTGCACTTTTCTTTGGCCATCGCAAGAACAGTACCGTAGGAAAAAAGAGTATTGCACTGTGGGTACCGAAGTTAAATTACAGTGGAAAAAATCTTTTGGACCAATGTGCAGTTTTTTTGTTTGTTTGTATGTTGTTTAACGTCCCTCTCGAGAATTTTTCACTCATATGGAGACGCCACCACTTGCCTGTGAAGAGCTGCAAATTTTGTCCTATACCCGGCACTTACGGCCATTGAGCAGTGAGGGATCTTTTTCGTGCCAGCACCTACTGCGACACGGGACCTCGGTTTATACAGTCTCATCCGAAGGACGGTCTCCACGTCCCACAGTGGGATTCGAACCCGCGTCGTAAGGATCAACTCCTTACTCCGCGACTCTAGAGCAGACGCTCTAACTACTGCGCCACGCGGGCGACCAATATGCAGTTAATCAAATCCCTATGATCCCTCGCCTAGACACATTATTTTACTTCTCGTGTTTCCAGGGATTGGTTTATTACCCCGTTTATGATTCGTTTTCTTTTCTTGTTTTGATTTATAAGTTTCATCACCATTCGTTATCTTTACCTTTTTCATCAATTTGTCGGAATGCTTTTTGATAATTGCGGATTTAGTTGTCAAAACTATACTTGCCAGTGATATGGGCTACATCGTTGAGTTTGTATACTCTATCTGCTATCTTCTCCATTTTGCATCCACATGACGTCACATCGGGATTTTTATACAGCTCTTCGAACACTTCACCCTTTAGAGTCTTCATGAAGCAGTGGGAGTTAGGGTGATTGTGTATAGGGCTTTCCTGATTTCTATTCCAACAGAGTATCATCAGATTGTAAAGACCATTCCCTTTGTCCAACAAAGTCCTCGTATATCTGTTCGTTGAAGAATTATGTCAGTAATAAAATTGCTCCAACTCCATCAAAGCATTAATCATCAGATTATTACAATATTATGCAAATTGTGTGCTATGTTTTACTTAAGAACATAAAAAAGGGCAACATGCCGTGCAATTTTAAGATGTTAATCATTTCACGGTAAGCAAGCTCTTTACTGTTGATAATGATTTGCAAGAATGAAACCCATTATAAAAATCCTAAGATTTATTATATAAACTTGCATGCATTAACATTTCGATGCCAACGCATACATGTACCGTGACACGGGGCTTCGGTTTTTAAGGTCTCATCCGAAAGACCCGCAACTTTCACTTCAAAGTGCCGAGCGCTTGGCAGTGGAACAGTTGTTACCTATTCTTTTTTATCAGCTTAGGTCAGTCGCAGCCATGATTCGAACACACGATCTTCCGATTACGTAGTGAGCATTTATGAAATGAAATAGATTTATAAGAAAAAATAATTCTTAGATCTGGGTATAATGTCATGATCCAACTCTTTTTTTTTTACTGTAGAGAATACTTTAATAATAGTGGCACGCTCTTTGTTCTTCTTCTTCCTCTGTCTGGCCTCCTTCATCAAGTTGAGTTGAAGATTTTGCCTATTACGTGTGCGCATATTTAAAACAATCTGTTTAGTTCTTCTTAGTCACTTGAAATTTAAAGATCTCAAGTGTTTTTGCTGCTGTGGTGCCTTCCGGCAGGCTATTCGTTTCTTTAACGCTTTTGTAAAAGAATGACTACTTTCTACAATCCTTGGTTGCAGTGGTATAGCAAACGAGTGTTGTTTTGTGTGCCGCGATCTTCTTACCGGCTTAGTGAAGTGGTACTCTGGTCTGATACACTTTAGCTACTTCGTTGTTAATTATCTTTGTTTCTTGCATTTCATGGAAGAGTGATCGGTTTTATTCCAAAATACTTCGCTAATTCAATCATGTATTTTTAGCAGTGACCTTTTTATTATTTAAGATCTTTTTTTTTCATTTCTTAATTTTTGGTGGTGGTGCACCAATTTCTACGAACAAACTATTCCCCTTTAGAGAAGTGGACAGGCTTTCGCCTACATCCACTTCTCTTCGCAAGCCTTCATGTTTTGATTCTGGAAAACGTGTAAATCTCGAACCGGTGACGGTCTACACTTCAACTGACATTTTGTCTAAAATACGTCTGAATGTACGTAATAGACGTGTTATATAACAATTTTAACATAAATACACACAATTGTCACAAGAAAACTGACCTTTAAGTATTGTTAATCCATTTTCACAAGTTCTCCATCCCGGATTTAAACTAATGTTTATCTACCACAGCTTATTAGAAAAAATTGAAAATTTTAAGTCGGATAATTTGGAAAAATTGGCAAAGACGTATTTTAATGTTCAAAAAAAGTTTTTGACAATTCACTTTTGATTTAGCATATTATTCAAAATTAATATTAATACCTATACTTATTTTTACTATTTTAATACAATTTAAATGTAAAGTTGAGCTTAAAAAATACTTCATTATTTCGTCACTGACAATACTAAAAAATATTTTCTCTTAGTTTTAAACGATATTAACTCTACCTTTCCCGAGAAATGTTTGTTTGTTTTTATGTTGTTTAACGTCCCTCTCGAGAATTTTTCACTCATATGGAGACGCCACCACTTGCCGGTGGAGAGCTGAAAATTTTGTCCTATACTCGGCACTTACGGCCATTGAGCAGTGAGGGATCTTTTCCGTGCCAGCACCTACTGCGACACGGGACCTCGGTTTATACGGTCTCATCCGAAGGACCGGTCTCCACGTCCCACAGTGGGATTCGAACCTGCGACGTAAGGATCAACTCCTTACTCCGCGACTCTAGAGCAGACGCTCTAACCACTGCGCCATACGGGCTCCCGAGAAATGAAAAAAGATTTAAAACAAAGATCAAAAGAATTTGAACGAAACTTGAGGAAATACTGTCTCGTTAGTTTAAACAGAGTAGACGATTTCTCTCGTTTCATTATTATTTTGTAAAAATAGTTTCCATTTTTATCCGAATTAGAGATTTTTGAATACTTCAAGAGTTACTTGCTCATAATTTAAATCCGGGATGGAGAACTTGTGAAAATAGATTAACAATACTTAAAGGTCAGTTTTCTTGTGACAATTGTGTGTATTTATGTTAAAATTGATAATATAACACGTCTATTACGTACATTCAGACGTATTTTAGACGAAATGTCTGTTGAAGTGTAGACCGTCACCGGTTCGAGATTTACACGTTTTCCAGAATCAAAACATGAAGGCTTGCGAAGAGAAGTGGATGTAGGCGAAAGCCTGTCCACTTCTCTAAAGAGAATACGAACAAACAAGCGTCTGTCCACAAGTATGTTAGCGCTGTCGTTATGTGATTGGCGAGAACCAGATCAATTCTTACAAAACACGCAATGAAAATGCTTTATATCTACCTGAATAATTACAATGTCATCTGTGACGATTACTTGGGAGGGTCAAAGTTCTATTAAAAAAAGATTCCAATGTAAGAGGAGTATGCTGTAATACTATATCTTTTTTATGGTTTCGACATACCCACTTAAAATATGTTACATTTATAATATTACTCGCAACCCTTATTTCTTAATGACCGTAAGTACCTAGTTTAGTTCTGTATATCCAGTCTTATGGCGTTTTAAATATCAGTCTTAAATTCCTAGAGGTAAACGAAACAACTTCAACCTTAGATGATTTAACTTTTACGCCACGCCAGCGAATAAAGAATTTAGGAAGAGGAAATGAGTATATACTTGAAAAAAAATGCTTTTATTTTTTAAATAGATTATTTAATAATTAAATTATGTACATATAAAACTTTGCACTAACTTTTCGTCACTCCATAGTTCCTTGCCCTCCCAGTCTTTGGGGGAACTTTTGTACTGGGACATCAGCTCTTTCACCCTCTCCACGGAATCCTTGGATAATCCATTCTTCAGCTCACTTCTCAGATCAGACTGCAGAGCCTTCAGGTCGTACCGGCCCATTTTTGGCTTTATAAGTATTAAGATATCAGAGTTATCGGTTTACCCTTAAGTCTTTATATCAACTACAAAATAGGAGAAATTTCCGTTTATATAGCAAACCTCAAAGCAAGGGTATTTTTCTTATTTGTCTTTATAAATACCTCGTTCTAGGAAATTCACGAAATGTACACACGTGGTTTTCAAAGGTGATGAATGCAAATACATGTATAGATGACATCGATTTGGCATGCCATGTGTAATTAAAAACAATTAACTGAAATACTTATGCAGTAGTGCATTTCTCTTTGAAAGATATGAAACATAAAATATGAAACTAAGTACGAAAAATACTCATCACACCAGCACAAGAGACTCATGGGTAAAAATCCATATTTGATCACCATTTCCTGGAAAATGAGTATTTACAAGAATCAAACGATGCCCGTTATGGTATCACTAAATAACTGTATAGGATTTCACTAATTAGAAATAAGTCTTCTTTGGCTTAAATTTAATCTTCACAAAATGCAATCAAAAACATGTATGGATTTAAAATATTTCTCTATAAATATTATTTCTCTAAAAGTTTGATGTTTTGTCTCTATAATTAGATCAAGATGCATTTATGAGGGGATGAATTTAAATAATTATCACTATGCTGTTCTTCTCTTGAGACTTTCCATATATTTCCAAACCAAAATTGTGGCCCCAAATTTCCCAGAGACGTAATGATTTGAACAAAATATGAAACGCTCGACTAATTATCGTGGCTCTGATAAAGAGGTATATTCATTTGATAGTATTGGTCACACCCCTTCGACTAAATGGCAACAAATACGAGAACATACACATTTTCTGTTCACTTAACCAATAGAAATTGTACATCAATAAATACCTTCTACAGTATACTAGGCAGTTGAAACATACTTTTCATTGTCTCTATCTGAACTTCACACATGTGACATAAAACTCTGTTTGAGAAGGAACGACAAATCCAAGGTCCAATGTTTTATGAATAGATGAAGTTAATTATAGAAATAGTGGATTCATGTGCTATATATAATAGGTAATAAAAATATCCTAAGAGAGCAGGGTGAATTGTCTTCTTGTATTAGAACAGGTATTATCAAATCTTAGAAAGTATTTCAGGCCTGATAGAAAAAAAAGCGTATAAGATTTCTCTAGGTTCAAAATATATCTATACTCTGCATGTCCCATCTTGGAAATACATATAATTGTATACATAATTAATTTCGTTACTTGGTAAACGCAATTCACAGAAACCAGATTTAAATCCCGCACACAATAACCCTCCGATAAAACGATTTATGAATATCCAAACTCATTCAGGCGTTCCCTCTCTGGACTGCAGTTATTGTTATTTTTTTTAAACATGAATTTCAGTACAATAAAAGGCCACAATAAAAGGCCCACTGAACTCGGTCAATTGATAAAGTTTCTTAATAAGATCTTCTGTTAAGACTGTACCATACTTAGCCCTGTTTGACTAAGTTAATGAAGGTTTTAATCTCGAAATGTGTCTAAGTCTATGAATGATAAAAATGATTTTTCCCTAACTTAATTATTTATGATGTGAAAATTATACAGCGAAGAATTGGGTACTGTAAATCAAAATCTTATTTCAATACATAATATTCACACACTAGTATTCAATTAATGTCACATTTGAAATCTCGACATAGACTATTTTTTCCTCGTCGTTGTTCATAGGTGAATTCCATAGTATTGCATTTTTATGGCCTCAGACTTGAGATTGATACTATCAAAATAAGTAATAATCAGACTCCAGGGTACAAGGTATGGTTGTCTTATGTTTAAATGCAATATTTTATGAAAAAAAATATCCCTGGATACAAAGACTCGGGCAAAATTTTTCATGGTTTTAGTGAGCAATGCCTTTTTTATCCAAAGGGTTAGGCTACGTTGATAATATAGTAAATATGCATATACCTCGCGCAACAACATCTGCATGTTTTTGATTTTGACTTTTCCGTTCCCCTAACTTTCTTAATTTAGTGATGATCTTAATCACAAAGAAATTAAAGATAATTTTATCAAACTTATCTGCATATACAAATCAACAGCATCATCATCTTTTGACCTTGACTTTCCTTTGACCTTGACCTCAGTTATCTTAAAAAAAGTATTAAGCTCAGTTTTAAAGATTGATTGATTGTATGCTATTCTACGTCCCGTTCGAGAATTTTTCACTCATATAGAGACGTCACCATATACCGGTGAAGGGCTTCAAATTTAGACCTTTACTCGGCACTCAGGGCCATTGAGCAGTGAGGGTTCTTTATCGTGACAACGCCTACCGTGACACGGGGCATCGGTGTTTAAGATCTCATCCGAAAGACCCGCAACTTTCACTTCATAGTGCCGAGCGCTTGACGGAGGAACAGTTGCTACCTATTTTTTATCGACTTAGGTCAGTCGCGGCCATGATTCGAACACACGACCTTCCGATCACAGAGCGAGCGCTCTATCGACTGAGCTACCGTGACGGTCCAGTTGAAAGAAATTATTCTTATATATTTCAAACAAACCTCACATGCTGATACATACAATGTATTGTAGAGAGCTGTTCAACTGTATCAACATTCTTTTCTTTGACATTGACTTCACATTTGTGTTTAGCTAACTTTCAACGGAATTATTCAAACTATTTCTTTTTATCAAACATTATATGCATATACATGTACATATTGATGAGAGCTATTCAATTGCATCAACATATTTTACCTTTTTTTGACATTGTCTTCAAATTTGTGTCAAAAAACAATTCAACATATTTTATCAAATTTCATATGCTTATATATATGATGAGAGCTATTCAGTTGCGTCTACTTTTTTGAGCTCCTCGTGAAATACCCATTTTTTTCAATATGTCTTTTGTAACTTACCTGTAATTTTTTTTTTAATTTCTAAAGGCTCAACAATTTTATACCATACCTTCATTGGTAATGTATGGGGCAAGAAAGAAAACATAATGAACGTACAAAATTAAATTATTTTATCAGATACAACACCATAAAGTTGCTAATGTTATAGAGAAAAGCAGCACCTTGTCGGTTGAACTTAGAATGACCCAGAGGGGAAATAGCTCCTGTAAGTAACAATCCTCTATTATAAAAACTTTCTATTCTGAAAACGAGGTGACATCTCAACAAAATCAATGCTTGTAAAGAAATAACTAAGTTCAAGAAGTGACATTTTCCCCATGCATAAATGATAAAAAATCAAAATCAAAACACTATGTATAACTCTGATATATCTCTTAAATAAAAAAGTGTCTCTCTTCAAAGCTGTAGGAGGAGTTATCCGAACAAAATGAAGTATCCTATATGCAGTATGATGTCCCAAAAAATAAGTACGGCAGCTGGAATTCGCAAAATTGTTCAAAGAATTAAATCCAAGTAATATACGAAAGTAATATATGTACAGTTGATCTGCAGAATTAAAAAAAGTTCCTCTCTAAAAACCTCAAGGAGGAATTATCGAGACAAATGGGTTACCCTATATGAGTTAGTTTTGGAACAAAAAAAACTTAAGTTCAAAAGCTGTTATTTTTCATATAAACTAGATGAAATCCCGCACAAGCGCGGGGACTTGAATTTATTACCACTACCGACAGAAAAGATATAATTATATATATTGTAGTTTCTACTGACAGCAAACAGGCTTATAGTAGGAAGAAATACTTTGTTCAAAATCCTGCATTTAGCTTTGGAGTAGAAGTAGATGTAACGTCACAAACCCCCTGCCCACCCTACCCCTTTGTAAAAAATTGAAAAATATCAATTTTAATTGTTGACGTTTATTGTGAAACCTGTTATACTATGTTATGGATATTATGCTTCAGATGCTCTTATTTCATTTCCGTCAAGGATAAAAGCAGCGAATATGCACATTTTAATGATAAATTGATATTTTTTGTAAACAAAACCCTTATGAATAGGCCGAGAATTTGATTCAAAAACTGTATTCAGAAAAAAAAACCTGAAATGTATTGACTAAAGCACAAAATTTTAACAATTCTAATTGTTTTTGAACGTACCTTATTCATTAATTTTCTCTTTTCATGTAAGCAAATTTATTACGAAGTACAAATTGTACTTCGGGTTTGTTGCCATTATACTCTCAGTGAGACAAATTTTACCGATAAATTTATTAGGAAAACCTACTAATAGTCTTTTGATATACAAATATATTCACAACTTACACTGTTATAAATGATTTACCATTATTTCAACATGCTATATGATGTTCTAGAAGTCACTGTTAAGATCGGCGAATGACGAAATATTTTGCACATTTCCCTTCTGAATCGGTTATCAGAACTTATTTCTTTTATATCATTTAAATCAAGTTTTGACTGAACAATTCAGTGATGGCGTTTTATGAAATAAATAAACGATTGCTTGTTGTCAGTTTCATTAAAAAATTGTCAGTAATTTAGATCCGCCAATCGGAACCGCCACCATACTTGCGTTTTCGCTATTCCATGGCTGCTTATAGAAAATGAAAGTAGACTTTTAATTTAATATATGTGCAACTGATCTGTTAGATAAGAATTTCCTCTCTTGAACACTGTAGGATTTTCCCGGACGAATGGAGCACCCTATATGCAATATTTTGCAAAATAAAGTTTAACAGCTAATTTTTTCTCATGAATTATAAAAATTAAAATCCAAGTTATATGCACATCTCTAATATATGTATAATTGATCTGAAAAATAAAAAAAGTTTCTATCTTCAAAACTGTAAAAGGAGTTATCCGGCAGCCGCCCGCCAGCCAGTCCGCTATTTTCAATATTACACTTACTGAATTTTTCCTACGGAAAACCCGGATTAAAATGAATAGTAAACATGCTCAAAAGTACATTGAAACAATATACATTTATTGAATGTGTTCGAGGGCAACATGCGTTTTGTCGGACATAAGAACCAAACTATTTGCCTGAGGCCGTTAGACAGAGGGCAAACATTTTGGTTCGAAGGGTCGATAAAACGCATTTTGGCCGAGGTTACAGCCAATAAATGTTTTGATGTACCTTTCATTTATTTATTTTTTTTGACGTACATATATCTTGTGCTGGCTTCCATGTTAAATTTCCTTTACCAATATTGGAGTTAAACTCGATGAATTCCGTCACTGTCGAACACTAACGAATGCAAATAAGATTTGGCAGATCACGTCCAGTGTGACGTAAGCGGTCCAATAACTCATCGACAGGTCCAAAATCTCGCTCTGCAGTTAAACATCGTTTCTTTGGACCGCTTAGTAAAGCATTTATAATGTTAGATTTTTTTCAAGGTATAACAATAGAAATTGTGACCAGAGCTGGCACATCATACGTGGGATCAGGTGCTACTGGGAGTAAGCATCCCCTGTTGACCGGTCACGCCTGCCATTTGCTCTTTATTATGATCGGGTCTACGGAGAAATCCGTATGAAAGGAGTCAGTCAACATTCAAACGGGAAGGATTTTGTTTTTAAAAAAAAACAAAACATTTCTTCTTTAAAAATCAATTTCTTTTTATTTTCATAACAATTAACAATAATAAAAAAAAATACATCACTAACAAATTGAAAAACATCATATCCGTAATAAAAAGCATTCTAAGCATTAGCGAAGAAAAAACCAAGGTATAATTTCAACATACAATTTGATGAAAACGTATATAAAACTTAAAAGCTATTAAATTAGCCAACAGAAATAAATACAAGATGTATTTAACGCAATATAACTGCTACATACCTTATTCTTACAACTAGACCTGAAAATAAATCGTATTCTAAAAAGTCATTCAAAATCAAACAGTTGCATAAAACTATTAACAAATGAATTATAAAATCAGATTGAAGACAAAGAAGAGTAATAAGAAAAACAATCACGTTACGCTACTAGTGAATATAAGCATTATGAAACACTTGTCATGGTAAGTGACATATAAATACACTAAATTTCAATCACTTTTTTGGGGGGTGGGGTGGGGGGTTAAAAACTATGTAAACAGAATATTACATAAGTTGTAGACATTGCCGGATCCAGAAATGGGGCTTTGGTACAGGTTTGGGCGTGCATTTAAGACTTTCAATTTGCAGTGCTTTCCAAAGCTTTGAGTCATGATATATAACTGGCATCGAGCATTTGAACTAGTACGCTATTCATTTTAAATCATATTGCAAATACACTAAAATGAGAGAAATTATTAGAAAACACAATTTTACAAACTAATTAAAGTGGAATGAGAGCACATGCCTATGTGTAATATGAATATAAAGTTTTTACAAGTCTTTGTATAGCACTATAGACTCTAAAAGTCGATTACTTTACACAACAAGAACGTGCGCAACACTGTTCGCTGAAGTCCTGGTCGAACCCCATTGGTACCTCTGTCGATCTACCTGTGACGTCATCATACTTCCGACATGAGGAGAAAGGCGGGGAATAAAGGTGTAAAGTAACAGCACCATCCACGTGACTTTTGTTCCCAACTCTATGAAGACCGTCTGCATCTAAATACATTACATACAAAGAGATATATCAGTTTTACAAACATGAATAAATGGACGAACTAACGAATAAGAACAAGTTGAGGGCGGGGTCAAGTAGGAGTTGAAGACATAGAATTACATTTTGTAATTTTTACTCTCTTTTTGTTTCTTGTTTGTTTTTTCTTCTTTTTTTCGGGTTACATTTTGTTTCATGTAACCCGGTGTTTAAATTGCATTGTTCATAGACTTCTGTCAATTTTGTCATTTCACATTATAGTATAGTTGAAAACATACCAGTGATATGAGCCACATCGTTTAATTTGTATACTCTGTCCTCTATCTTCTCCATTTTACAATCAGAACAGCTGTCGCATGACGCCATTTCCGGATTCTTATACAACTCCTCGAACACTTCTCCCTTTAGGGTCTTCATGAAGCAGTGGGAGTTAGGATGATTATGTATAGGGCTTTCCTGACTGGTATTCCAACACAATATCATCAGATTATAATGTCCATTTCCTTTGTCTAACAAGGTCCGAGTATATCTGTGCAGATATATATAATACTGGCATTATTTAAGACGCCGAAACTGTATCGAAGAATTTTTGGACTATACTTTAAAATACAATCACACAAGAAAGATTATTATTCTACTTAATTTGTTCAAATATTACAGCAAAGACATGTACATTTCTTAACAGGTCATTCAATCCTACACCTATAAAACAATTTGATATCAAACTTTACATCAGTAATTTCACGATTTGAAAACATTTTAATTTTGAGTAATTAACGAACAAATACAATACAGCTGGTTAAACTGTCCCTGGCGGCCCTATATTACTGTCTACGCAAAATGGTCAAACTTGTCATAAGGCATATATACGTCATAAAGCATATACATATGAATATTTACACATGACTAGATGAAATCCCGCGCAAGCGCGGGGAATTGAATTTATACCATTACCGACAGAAAATATATTGTAGTTTCTACTGACAGCATATAGGCTTATAGCAGAAAGAAATACTTGTTCAAAATCCCACATGAAGTAGATGTACATGTACATCCACCCCACCCACCCCCTTTTTGTAAAAAATTGAAAAAAAACAATTTCATAAATTGACGTTTATTATGAAACCTGCTATACTATGTTATGGATATTGTACTTCAGATGCTCTTATTTCATTTCCGCCAAGGATAAAATCAGCGAATGTACACATTTTACTGAAAAATTTATTTATTTATTTATTTGGGGGGGGGGGGGGGGTAAAAATTCACAGGTACTTGAGTCTTGGTTCATAAATATGTATGTACCTTATTGATATGTAAAAAAAATATACTTTTATTTACCTTTTTTTACATACATGTATCAATAAGGTACATACATATTTATAAACCAAGACCAAAGTACAGTCTGTGTAAAAATTAGCTTATAACGCCCTATGAATAGGCCGAGTATTTGATACAAAGACTGTATTCAGAAATAAAAACAACTGAAATATATTGATTAAAACACAAAATTTTACAGTTTTAATTGTATTTGAACAATACCTTATTCATTAATTTTCTCTTTTCATGTAAGCAAGTTTATTACGAAGTACAAATTTTACATCGAGTTCGTTGCCACGATGCATTTAGTAAGGAATATAGGAGTATAAATTATTTATACAAATATTACCGATAAATTTATTAGAAAACCTACTACATATATGTAATAGTCTTTCGATATATAAATATATCACAACTTTTAGTGTTATCAATGATTTGCCATTTTTTCAATGACCATTCACACAAAAGGTTTTTTTTTATGTTTCTTGCAGCTATAATCGCCTGGTTTTTCTTTTTAACATCGGGCTCGATGCTATATATGTTCTAGAAGCTTCCTTCAATATTAAGATCGGTGAATGACAAAAATGATTTGGACATTTCCCTTTTTAGATGGTTATCACAATCTTTTTCTTTTATATAATTTAAATCAAACTTTGATTGAATAATTCAGTGTTGACGTTTTATGAAATAAATAAACAATTGCTTGTTATCAGTTTCATTAAAAATTTCCAGTAACCTAGATCGGCCAACCGGAAACGCCACCGTACTCACGTTTTTGCTATTTCATGGCTGTTTATAGAAAATAAAAGTAGAATTTTAATTTAATGTCCGATACTTACTATGCGAGTGAAATCTAAATATAGTTTACGGACATCAGCTTGTATCTAGTGTATTGTTAGAGGAGTAAGTAAGAACTCTGGTGCACCCGTTTCGGAGTTTATTTGCAAAATTTATTAATTTATAAGTATAGATGTTAAATCTCATACTCTTCTAAACCTGTATAATGTAATGAGTAAAGTTCCAGACTATATTATAATAGCATTTTTATAAACCTTTTATCTTAAATTTAAAACTACGAAGTGGGGGGGGGGGTATTAATACATCGTTGAACTTTCGTTGACTCCAGAAATAAATGATGCTAGGAATTTACGAGATCAATTCCATAAACAGGGAGACATGGACAATTTTAGAATTTGGAGGAACAAAGTCACCTCTTTAATTAATGATGCAAAATGTACATATTATAAGACAGAAATTGAAAATAGTTCTACATCAAAGGAAATGTGGGGTCATTTAAATCAACTGGCCTCAAATTCAGATAAAAATTCATCTCCTTCCAATATAACATATAACGGGTTAGATCTTGATAATTTACAGGATATTGCAAATGCTTTTAATGAGCATTTTGCACAAATTCCAAAAAAATTATCAAATAACCTTTCGTTAAATAGTTTTGAATCAGAAAAATTGAAAAGATACACTGAGACAAAACTTGGAGATCATGACTTTTTTGAAATTCCTTTGATTAATGAAGCAAAAGTATTTGATATGTTAAAGAGACTTGATGTAAACAAATCTGCCGGCATAGACTTTCTTGGACCTAGATTGCTTAAACTTTCAGCTCGTATAATATCCAAACCTCTAACACACCTAATAAATTCTAGCATAATCAAGGGATCCTTTCCTTCACAGTTAAAAGTCGCAAAAGTAACTCCTCTATTTAAAAAGGGCGATAAATCTGACCCAGGAAATTATCGCCCAATCACAATTTTACCAACTATATCGAAAATTTTAGAGAAGCATGTAGCAGAAAATATACGCATCTTTACTTCTCATTTTGATTTATTAATGAAAGCACAATCTGGATTTAGAGAATTTCACTCATGCCAGACAGCTCTCACAAAACTAACTGAGAATTGGCTGCATGCAATAGATCAAGGAAACTTCGTTGGCATTACTTATTTGGATTTTAGCGAAGCATTTGATCTCGTAAATCATGATATACTAATTAGAAAACTTAAATGCTATCACTTTGATCCAATATCAATTAAATGGTTTCAATCATATTTATATGATCGAACTCAAAGTGTTAAAATTGGTGCATACACATCTAAATCACTGCCAGTCACAGCAGGTGTGCCACAGGGCTCTATTTTAGGTCCTTTATTATTTCTGTTACACATCAACGATTTACCATTATCTGTTGAACATTGTAATATTGATATGTTTGCTGATGACACTACAATGCATTTTCATGGTAACAATATTTCACGTATCGAAACAACTCTTAATCATGATCTGTTTCAAATACAAAACTGGTGTCAACAAAATCAAATGATTTTGAATACTGATAAAACAAAGTGTATGTTAATGGGAACACAACAAAAGAAATCAAAATTAGAAAACGCTAATCTTCATTTACAACTTTCCGGTCATCCCCTTGAAAACATAAGAACAGAGAAATTATTAGGTGTTCACATTGATCATACTCTACAATATACTTGTCATGTAGATGCAGTTTGCAAAACTCTTACATATAAATTATTTACTTTACGCAAAATTAAAAAGTTCCTTCCACTGCATACTAGAAAGCTATTTTATAATGCATTTATTTTACCATCAATTTTATATTGTCTATCTATTTGGGGTAACTCTCCTCAAACTCACATCGATAGAATATACAGACTTCAAAAACGAGCAGCTAGGATTATTTCAAATGAAAAATATGACGCACCTTCAATGCCCTTATTTAATAGTTTAGGCTGGTTAACAGTTCATGAACTTCTGTATTTACAGAAAAGCATTCTAATGTTCAAAATATTTCATGGTATGTCTCCTGATTATATGCATGACTTTTTTGAATTTCAAAGTTCTGTATCATACACGTTACGCTCAGAGACAAATTCAGAACTTCGTTTACCAAAATATAAAACAAATTTATTTAAAAATTCTTTACAATATTCAGGGGTTATTATCTGGAATGAGTTGCCTATTAGTATCAGGAATTCCCAATCCCTTGCAATATTTAAAAGTAGTGTTGAAAATTTTTTACTTACGAAACGTACTGATTCTACATGAATTTGAATATCTTACTTTTTTTTTTCTTACTCTATCCTTTCCACCTTTTAATGAAAGTTTGATGTTTTGTTTATTCTGTTGTAACATAGTGTTTATATTATATTGTCTTATAGTTGTGATTTGTGTTTATTGTATATATACATTGTATATGTGTTATGGAGAAGGCCCCGAGGAAGACTAGTGCTTGCACTAATCGGATTACCTTCTATAAATAAAGTATTATTACTAAAATTTATCTGTAATATTTAAGACAATTGGAAATTCTGTGTTGAAGTAATAAAAAATATAAAAAGTATACTAAGAAAATTCAGAATAGAAACATGAAGTTAATCCTAGGCTGCAGTGTTTTCTGCTTGTGTTCAGTGATGTGTCAGTGAGGGCAAATCAAATAAACCCGGTAAAACATAAGAAAAGAGATTAAGTTCGTATGTTCAAACACAGGTGCTCGATGTAACTGAGAATTTAGATGTTACATTAAATAAAAAAAAAAATAGGGCAATTTAAGTAATTGTGGCTAATTGTCACTGCCCCTTTAATTATTTATTTAATAAAGAAACCACACAGATGAAGACTAGATTTATTACATACTTTTTATCACTCCAGGTTTCCTTTCCCTCCCAGTCCTTGGGGCAACTTTTGTAGCGACACATAAGCTCTCTAACCATTTCCACGGACTCCTCACTTAATCCATTCACCAACTCCCTGCTCAGATCAGATTGCAGAGCTTTTAGGTCGTATTTCTCCATTATTTGTGTATCGTTGAATAAAGTAATAGATTTAACGGTCTACAATGAAATGCGTAAACAAAATTTATGAAGTTTTTACAAGATGAAACCGTTCTTATATCCTACAAATGCAGGATAGTTTGTCTAACTTGCCTTTATAAATATTCTGTTCTTAGAAATTCGTGGTCTGATGGCATTTATTACTTTTCTCGGTTTCGATAATAATGGATTTTCCCATCTATGATCTAGTTTTGAATGGTGATAAATACCAAAAAATATAATTTTTATGACATGATAGCTAAAATTAAAAAAAAAAAACCTTGATAACAATAATACAAGGAATTTGTATTCGTGCATTCAATTTTTCGAAGATAATAGAAACTCGAGATGAGCTAAATGTGTCAAATATTTGAATGTATAACTTGGCAAAAAGAAATGTCCTTGAAGACACTTACCATAGATAGTGTAATTAGACTTCAAAATCGTTCAATAATTAATCCAATTATTCATTTATTTTTTAGTATTGATTAAGTAATCATTAAAAACAAAACCAGAAAACGACGCGATAATTGGAAAGACAATATATGGGAAATAAATTTTCTATGGTAGCATGAAAAAAATGCTGGCTTGTCATATATATAAATGTTGAATATTTATTTGTCAATTAACTAATTGCTTGATTGAGAATTAATTTAACCTATATTTCATATGTTTAATTGATTTATTGAAGAGGCAAAGCCTTTAGATGTAGAGCCAAATACTTCTTACAGTTTGCTTACATTTATAAATTCCCTTACTTTAAGCAGTTAGGACAGTGTTATTAGTAGTCAAATCTCGCCATATTTATTAGATAAATATATGCAAAGGACCTTGCATTTAAAGTTAATAAAAAGGATGTGATAACAACTCTGTCGTGCACTTAATGCAATTGAGGAGCGTCTGAATATTTATTGAAAGGAAACAGTCATGTAAAGCTTAATTCTTTGTGACGTGTATTTTTTTTATATATATAAACGCGCTGTGTATAAAATACGAAAGTACTTTCGATTGCAGTGTATTTTTTATGAACTGACAGTTACAAGGTCAACATTCCTCAGTGATAGAAGCTTGGGTTGATATAACGATTATTCAGTGTAAATACTCGGTCGATTGTAAAACGAGGTTTGCAATTTAAATAAACATAACGTTTTCAAACCTATAATAAACAGGATTTTTTAAGAATTCAAACACCTTTAGGTCACTGACGTTTTTAATGCTTAAAGACATGTTTACTTTTTTACCGTGCACTTCATCCACTCGGAAAGCGGAGGCGCTAAATGACATTATACACTGACATGTTGTAGGTATTGTGGTTAATTCCGTTACATTCCATAAGTTTATATTTTAATAGGAAACAGCTATGAAGCTTAAGACAATATGACGTGTATTTTTATATAGTTTGTAAACAAAACATTACACGTAAAGGTAATGTACTTTCGTTTTGTTCTATACAAGGTTAACATTTTTCAGTTTTAAAAAAAGTTGGTTAACACAACGATTGTTCAATGTAAATACAAGGATAGATTGTAAGAAGTGATATTGACCGAGGTATTCCCCATGTAACCAAACTATATACGCAAACAAAATACATAAAATTTAAGATATAATCTGACGTATATATAATATGCATTTAAATGTAAAAAAAAATATATACGTATTTTAAGGTTGTCTCAAGCCTATACTTAAAATATATTTAAGAATTAGAAAAAATATAACTCACTGACCTTTTTCTTTAAGTTTATGCTTACTTACTTAAGGAGGAATGCTACATCAAAATTTTATTTCAAGACATCCCTGTTAAGTTATGGTTTCAGCACTGAACGGTCGATATTATAGCTCTTGATAATTCTGTAAGATTTTTCCCCCAATTTTTCCATACAAAATGAAAAAAAAAAGTTTTATAAGCAGATAAGGTGCTTTATGGTTTAAAATTTGCTGTAAATAAATGCATAATATGAATATCTAATAAAATATGTAAAGACAAGCCAGAAAGACATTTTAATTTTTTTACTAAAAAATAATGATGAAAAAAAAACCCCACATTATTTGTGAATATTTTCAAAACCAATGAATCTATACTACTATATTAAAATAATAGACTCGAATTTTTGGCCTTTAATACCGATAAATCGGAAGAGTACTGTCTTTTGTTATATATATTTTATACATAATTGGTACTTGAAGATTACCAATTTGTTTTTATTTTTTCTCAATTAGCCTTCGCTAATTAATAATCAACGAAAATTCCACAAAAAATTCCGGAAATCATCTGGATTTTTTGGATTTTACAATCTTGCGCGTGCGCATTACATTCACGCTAAATCACTGAGTTCAAATCAGAGAAGACAAAAGAAGTATTAAGTAGATAATAATATATTTGTTATTTTATAATTTCTCTAATAAGAAAATAAGAAATCAGAAATATATATAAGAAATCATAAATATACCTGAACAGAATATACAGCAAATTTCCAATGAAAATTTATACGTATTTGTATTATCTTTCTGAGTTTATCCATACAAATGTGATATTGTGGTCACGTGGGTAATCATTATATGTTATTTATGTCTCTGGCCATCTCAACGGGGGCAAAAAGCTCATGATCGTAGGAGCAATATTAATGTAACTACCTGATTTTATTTTATTTTATCCTTCCTTTCTTTTTATGCTTTTTTGAGGGGAAAGGGGGGGGTACAACTCCAGCTAGAATCACATCTTAGTGAAGTAAGCATTCTTTTTCCGCCAAAAATTACAATAACATTATTTTCATTTCTTAACTTTGAAATAAATCGGAGTTATTTAAAAATAACGTCAATATAACCGATATTTTCAATTTGAAATGTGTCTAAATGACTGCAACTTGAATTTGTTCGCCATATGTTTACTATTACCTTCACTGCTGAAATTTATAACGCGGTAAATATGACACATAAACTAGGGGCAAAGAAATATTTGATTCCATGCAAAAAATTCACATTATATTTCTTAGAAGTGCAGTGAAATCAATAGCATTTGTTTCAATTAATATTCAAATCAATTAAATTTGTTTGGAAAGGTGAAATTTATGTAAGCTCCGGTGTGATTCTAACTCATGATTGATTTATAGCTAACTGGTGGTCAAAGCCATTCTGCGCTACGCCGTTACGCAACAATTTTGCAAAAAAAAACAAACAAACAAACAAAAACAAAACAAAACATAAAAAAAACCAGAATTATATTCACATTCATTGTTTATCTCAAAAGTACTTTACAATATCAATGTGTAGATGTATCTATTTTGTTGATGTCCGATATGCAGATGGATGCATTCATAACAATGTCAACCCGTGCACGCACGGGTCAAAGTCTAGTAATATATTAAAAAAAATCAAGTCACAGCTACAAAGGATATGTTAGACAATCATTTTTAAAAAAGAAATTAAAACGAAATTGAGAAATTTTAGAGAATTTTTTTTGGTGGAAATTTTGGCCAATCACCATCGAAAGTAAACTGATCCCAACCAGAATTTTATAATGATTTGAAGTACAGTTTCATTTCAATTTCTTTTTTAAAAAATGAATGACTAACATGTTCTCCCTAGTTGTGTCTAGTTTTATGAAGATTTTATCAATAAGTTTAAAGAAATATTCACAAATAATGTTAATTATTTTCATAAATAATTTCTTTTTTAAAAATCAAAATTTCTATCCAGCCTTTCTTTACATATTTTATTATACATTCATATTATGCATTTAATCACAGCAAATTTTAAACCACAAACACCTTATTTGCAAACAAAACATTGTTCAATTTTCTCTGGAAAAAATGCAAAAAATCTTATAAAATAATTAAGAGCTAATACTGGTCTCTCAATGATGAAATCATAGTTTAATTGGGATGTCTTAAAGATCTAGATTAAAAACGCAGCACATTTAAGGCTAGAAAGAGGATGCGGAGCCTAATTTGTACGGGAAAATTAACTATGACATCATACAAAACCAACAATTCTAAAAAAAAAAAATACAACAAAATGAAATGATTTGCTATTTAAACTATAGGAGACCATCAAACTACATCAAAACTTACTACAACATGTTGTTTTGTCGTTAGTTAAATCCCACATAACAAGGTATATAAACAAGTCACCGATCGAAATGCACTTGTCGATGTGACGTCATTTCGTAAAACTTGATGCAGTTTGTATGCAGTGAGAGGTGGATCAAGTAATATTTTCTCAATGAAAAATGTATTCTATAATTACAGATATTTCAAAGGCCATTAACTTGGATTCAACGTCTTCTTTATGATTTTATTCATACATGTATATTTTCCGTACATTTCCTATTTAATTGATAATGCTGTATATTTGTATGCAAGTACATCGGAGGGTAATGTAAGGGTCTTAATAAATGGATCTAGTGCAAGGGCATACACTCAATGGATCATAGTAAGCTTTCACAAAATAACTCTATAAGTATTAATGAATCTGAAAAGTTTTACGATCCTGGTGAAATCTTGAAAATAATTTAATTATAATATCTATTTTTAATGCCGTTGACCAGCAAAAAGTACAGCATGCGGTCATATAGACATAAAATATATTTAAAGGTTTTTGTAAGTATACTGCATTAGGTTTCAATAGTATCAGTTATGTTTGATTCTATTTTAAACTGAATGTTTTGCAAGTCTCTTGATTATTATTTCTCCAATTCCTTTAAAGTATTTCCTCGATCCCTCAAAAGTTTTTCTCTCATTCCTTATTTCTCCGGTTTCTCAAAATCCTTTCTCCATATTCTTGACCGTTATTATTCAGTATCAACGTGCAGCTACATACATTATGCGAGTATACGTGTTTGCAGGTATGGTTAGATGTGTGCGTGTCACCTGACACATTAATTTAAGCATTCTTTATTTAAATTTACACATTAAAATACTACGTGGCGGTTGCCACTAATTATCCAATTTAACCCGTTGGACCTTCAAATAAGTAGACCAGAGAAAGTATTTATGCGGTGGGGGTTGGAGGAGGTGAAAAG